TTGGTCCAACCGACAGACGATTAGCGCAGGTACTGAAGCAGCTCAATAGAAGGAAGAATATAGTTCGGCCCCGCAGCGGACCACCAAGCCTCACCTCCTGTTGCAGCTGGTTAGCTGGTGTCGGAGCTTTTTGGAGAGGACTGCTCAATCCACCAAAGGTGACAACTGTTTGTGATTAAGGTCCACAAATGTACTCATACGCTTATCGCACATCTCCAGGAAGAACCGAATTGACTAGTCATTGACTACACCAAGAAGATGCGATGTCCTCAAGCAGCAAGCGAACTCACGAGCAAAATTTGAAAGCTTTCATAAATGAATGCGAGAAAACGAGTCGAATGCAAGAGATTTTTAGATCAGCACACTATGTGGTGAGAAATGTCGCTAAAATTACAAAATAAATAGAAATTAAAGTGAGCGGAAGAGAAAACTCATCGCTCAGTAGCCAGTCGCTGCCGCGATAGTGGAAACTATGCCAAGTTTTCTAGTTATGTATCTGTATGTAGCATAATTATAAAGATATGTTAATGACTAATTAGCTAACTTTTTGAACAACCTGCATCGTTGAAGTAACTAAATGTGAGTTTTCGTTTCTCATTATGCTATTGTGCAGGTAGTGTGATGCGTGCAATGGAATTAAGTCTGAGCAGAATGAGAATACGTAACATTCTCGGGAACTATTCTTGGGAGCTCAGCACACACTGACATCATAGAGTGCATCAAAAGCAGACGGTTTTACATTTAAAAAATCCAAGTCAGGCGACTGGAGGGCTGGAGAGCTGATGATTACGACTAACTTGATGAGCGGAAGCATGTAGGCGTCACTTAGTGACATTGAAAAAGTAAGCAAAGTGAATATGAGCGAAAATTGAAGGTACAATCATCAATGGCATCAGTGACGAAATCAGTCGCCATCATTAATGAGACTATTGATGTTGATGATGTTTATTCCCGACAGTTTCAATCTAGTCAGTAGGAGTTGATTTGATAAAGCAAAGGAACTAACAAAGAGGGTAAAGCTATCGGCTTTAATCACCTATTGAGGGATATGTAATGTATTGCAATCTACCAGGCCTTTTTAAAGATGACGGAATGCATATCTGGTATGTATAATGATTTGCACTAGCACACCGATTTATCATATCATTGCTTTTATAATACTAGACAAATCTTGGCATTTCTTTGACCTCTGAAGAATGAAAAGCTTCGCGAGCTCTGGACGAAGGATCCAATCAGGAACCACTTGTGTATTCTTACTCTAGCCACTTCGCCAGACCGCCGTCTCAAAGGTGATAAGATTCAAAATTAACACTCATCACTTATCACTCCAGCATTCAGTCATTTGTGAACAAGACATTAAAAAGAGTTTATGAACGGTATTCTCAACGTTGTTGTAGTAAATTATAAGCGCATTACTATATTATCACTTTGCGCCATTGAACGCACAGTCGAGAGGTTGTTGTTAGGAGTATCCCGTATCTCGCGAATGAGAGAAAGGATCTGAAGTCCCGATCTACGTCAACGATCGAAGATCAGAGACGCCGTTCTACACGCCAGGATATCGAAAATAAGGTGGGCCGGACACGTGATGCGCTCAACGATAACCGATGGACAAGAGCCGTTACCCACTGGATTCCTCGAGATATCATCATACAAGAAGACAACCGACCCATTGGTCCGATTTCTTCACTAAAGCCATAGAAGACGGCTATGATGTTTAGCAGATTCGTAAAGCGAGAAGGATCCACTGGGGTACTCTTAAACGCGATAAGGAAAAATGGAAATGTTGCTGGCACCTGCTCGAGTCGCTCGACGATCAACGGGACGAAAGGTGATACAGGTGATAGGTCGAGTGGTTATGATGTCCGTCGTGGGGCGCGTCTATCCGAGCTCTAAACCCTCCTCCCCCCTTCACCGCACTCTCCGGCAGTCAACAAGAATGCCCTATGGAACGCCACAGCCATGCTATCCACGAGATTACAAGGAGACATTGACCAGTGTTTTACCTCATCCAAGAAAAAGGCGGAAAACGAACTGAATAAGAGAAGTACTGGGATGCGCACAAGAAAAATTGCGATGACGGGCAGTGTAAACGAACAAAATAAATCATTACTATATCGCACTCTGCTGTGGTAATTGTACTTCTGTCATTCAGTTAAGTAAGTGCTACAAATGGTAAACTTGAATCGTCACTAGCTTAGATATACAATTCACCTCAAAAGGATGTGAAGAACTTTACGCCTTCATTACAAATACTCCCACAAACTATTTTTTATCAACCTCGTGATCTTGGCTTAGTCAACAAACATTTAAAGCTGATTATTTTGAATAAATAGATTTAATAATCAAACAAATGTAATCAGTACAAGATATTTTACATATGCTGCCTTACAGTAGTAAGCCATGCAATCGACAATCAATCACTCTGGAAGAAAGTCACATCAAGTGATCTTTACACTTGACAAAAAAAGATATTTTCTCGGCGCCGCTAACATGGGTCGTAGAGGTGAACCTAAAGGCATGTGGCACTGCTGAGGCTTCCGAGAACTCCGAAACGTACGTCTACTACTAGAGATATCTCTATCACACCTTTGAAAGTTTGTAACTTGCCACATTTTGACACTTTATTGATCCCTCTTCATAATGATTTTTTCACTGTGTGGCTTTTTGTCTACTTCTTGAACGTTGTAGAATACCGGTTGAGCGAGTCTCCCTGTAATTTCGAAGATAACGTGGCTGTTACGCTCCATAGGGCGTTGTTGCTGACTGCCAGAGAGGGTGCGTAGGAAGGGGGGGAGGGTGTAGCTCAGCTTCACGCGCGCCCCGACAAACATCACAACTACTAGGCTACGGCGCCCCCTTCGAACTTATCAGTTTATATAGATATAATTAACAGATAATGTCGGAAAGGAAAGTTAGTTTACAAAATATTCTCACCAATTTATTGTTTTTGTCAAAAGCATGACTATTGATTGTATTCCAAGCTCGGTTGCGAGGTCTACGTGCACGCATAGATAGTTCTTTGCACTGTCAGCTATATTTGAAGCTTGTTTTCATTAAAAAAAAACATGCAAAATAATCACGCCCATCGAGTGGGTGGAAGACATTTGCTAATCCAGTAATGATCCATTTCCAGGAAACATCTAGACGATGACATCGCCTCTGCTTTTAATCCTCAATTTGCCATTCCATGATATTACATAAACTCATGACCAGATAACTAGAGATCGCTGACATGACAGTACCACTAGAAAAAAGAAAAAAAAACGTTAGGTTACGCCAGGGCGAATGAAGACTAGTAGGTGAAGGTGCTGCGTAGTACATACCTAGCTGCTTCCTTTACCTCTAATTCCAGGATAACCAAGTTTTCTAGTTTTTTTTTTGGATCGTTCGTAGCAAAATTGTGGGGAAAAAATGAAAACACTGCCTTGGCTGATTAACAAGCAATTCTGAGTTGATCATTATTCATATGTGTTCAATCACCTCTACGATGCCAAAAGTGGAGTCTAGTGCATCATTTGTTTCCAAGGAATTAGCTAGTGCCGTTTACTCTATCTTCTCCCTTCCATATAACTTTGAGGTCCCCATCCTATGTCAATGATGGACGTGATCAGTAACGATGCAAATAACACTTGAGCTGAATTGCCACAGAGAATAGAATCACCTGATCAAAGAAATGAGTCTAAAATTGTAACCTTGAGATAAAAGCGACAAACTTGATGTTGAACCTTGTAAAAATTGAACCCGCATCATAGGAATTATGAGTTCCTCATTTTGTTTCAATGAGTAAGGCCCATTGAGCAGCTCTCTTTGCGTAATGGGTTAGATTCAATTTTCAGTGAGACAGAGGATGAGAGGACAAACAATGAAGCTCTTAGCGTTTCCAAATCTCCAAAGGATACCTCATGCGGTAGACTTCACTAAGCATTGTTGACGGACAATTGAGTGCATGTCTGACACTTACAATGACTCGTGGTGGTCTATGCAGTGGGTGATGTTATTCTCCCAAACATGACTGTTATCACTTCGCAAACCCCAGAGGGACGGATAGCCTGCTGAACCTTGAGCGCGGGATCCAACCATCGACCACATGTGTGCCGCAGGGCACCTCTCACCACCGAGTGACAAGCGACTCATTCTATGGCATCAGATTTAGAGAATAGTACATGCAATTGTCGAGCCATACGTAACGCAGTTTCTTTTCGCCATAACAGCGCTCTGTGTAAACCCTTTCGAGACCAATGTTTGCATCAAATTTGTTGAGATTTGGGCTGTGGAATGACTGCCAATAATCTAGCGAAAAGCACCGAGAGACAACAGCCGAGCAAACAGAGCAAACAAAATATGAAACATATTATGTTTGATGCTACAAAGATAGAAAGGTCTTGTGGACCACAGACATTAGTCAAATTGCAGAAAATTATGCCTTCGAATGATTATTTAAAGTTTAGAAAAAAAGTTTTTTCTGCGAGAAAGTCCTCTAGAATATCGTGAATTCAAATGGGTACATTCCTTCTTGAGAGTGTTAAGCTTCATCTGCGAGCCTATGAAAGTGTTTGGCTAAGTGGACTGCGCGTCAATTTGGTCTTTCTGTGTTTTGAAAAAGGCGAAAGCTCAGAACGATTGATTATTTTGAATGATCTCTGTAATATCAACCTTGCGTCTCTTCATCAAAAAATGGACACTCAAAATATAACGTTAATTAGCAAGTTCACGATAAAAAAAAAACCACATGAATGACTAATTGATAAAAGAAGAGAATTGAGTGATGAGCAAAAATATCTAAATATATATTTTAAGTTCTGTTACGTGTGTATGAAACATCATAACGCTGCGAAAAAAAGCAGTAAAACACTAGAAATTTGGAGTATCACTTATCATAATGGCTGTCAGCTCAACTTGGTTTATGGGGCGAAATCGCATACTCAACTAAACCTGTTAAAGACTGGTGGCTGGCAGCTAACATAGAGATATTGAAGAATGAGTGGTGGTGCAAGTGTACCTCGGTGGTGTAGTAGTAGCACGCGTCCTCGGTATGCATGAAAAGCGAGTTCGACTCTCGTCTGAGACCGTATTTTTGCTCATCACTCACTTCTCTTAGGCGTTTAGAAGCATCGCAACACTGCGGAAAAAAAACAGTAAAGGCACTAGGAATTTGGTTGTGATTAATAAAAATACGCAAATTTAGACTAGAAGACCATAGGTGGTACAAAAAAATTCGTGTTATTGCTTTCTTACATGGGCAGTGAAACTGATAAAAGGAACGAACAAAAAGTGCTCGTTCCGCCTTCTATTCACGCGACTCTTCACCGCCTATATAAGGCGGCAAAGTCTTAGGATACTATAAAACGTTTGTCATTACTGCTATTGTACAAAGACATCGATTTTGAAGTTGCAAAATATCAAAATGATTAGACGGAAAGTTGTGTGAGACTCAGTCGTCAGAAGGAATCCTGCACTACACACTTATCGCTGATTTCGAGCTAAGGATGTCCTTCATTACAATTCGATATCGTAGAAGCGACTTTTCATGGACGACTAAACAACGCTGAGCTGACAGATCAGTAAGCCATCTGTGAAGGTTTTGTACTGCGTCATTATAATATCTCATGATTGAGATTGTTACATTTTTGAGCATTACCGATTATCAAGTGAGTGGTGTTGAAGAGATTTTAGTGTCTAAAGTAAATTCATCACAATCACATCACTTTACTATCCTTGAATCAAGATTTATACCAACTTTCAAACATTTATTGACTTCGAAGTATCATTTGTTCATCAAACAAATAAACTCTGAGGTTTTTCCTCCTTTGTTCAAAGTCCGCATGTCCGACTTTTTGCATTGTAAGTATGAATGAAAATCTCTAAGGGTTACTGGAACATTTGTAGTGAGCCCTCATAGCGAATAAACTCCGACGATTGCCGAATTACTTCTTCGGGATAATAAAAGTAAGATTTGAAAGTTCACGAAGTTCACCAGTCAGGTTGAGAAATGCAGTTGCACATTCGTAAATAAAATGACTCAAATAGTTAGCGTGGTGTTCGCTTGTAAAGACATAACCCTTTGACGACTGTACGTACAGATTTTGCTGCGCACGATCTGGTGACCATAGCTCTTTACCACTAATTTGAAGTCCCTCGAGCTCTTCTTAGCCCCTTTCCTATTTTGTGAGCCGAAGAGTGGAACGACGATCTCAAGCAATCAATTCGCCACGTCTTCACTGATTACTCAGTCAATACTAATTTCCAAGTGGTGATTTGCCAACGCTGTAATTTTTTTATGGAGACCCCATGAATGATGGCTGAAGAAGACGAATCGGATAGCGAGGTGATAAAATTTAGAGAATTCATGACGCCAGGTTATGTGAATAGGTGACATCACACCTTTCTAGGAAAGACTTCTATTCCTATTTCAACTAGCTTTCAATATTATCGTCTTTCTATCCGATACTCAATTCAATTAACAGATTGGCTGCTTCAGTTCTTGAAACAACTTACGGGAGCCACAAGATAGAAGAAAAAGTTGAAGTTGATTAAAGGAATTTTTACTTTGAAGACTCGTAAATGGCGGATTTATGCTCATCCAAACGCATTTAAACATTAATTCAACAAAAACCCATGCTTGTCAACGACGTAGACCGATTAACCCAGAAACCCCCAATCCTGGTAGTGTCTCACTGTATTGCGCTAAGTGAATTACGTTCTGGATAGAGTCCAATACAGATTAACAATCACATCTTAATATTTGAATTTCTCGCTTCATATGATTTGAATTAATGCGTTTTATGTTGTTACCTGAAGAATCTTTTTTTCTAAATCTCCTTAATCATACATGAAGAATGTCAGCTATCGATACATTAAAAGTATATTTTAATATTCTAAGCGATCAGATGAAGAAATGAATAAGAAACTCGGCGTTGATCAATTCTTAAGAAATGCGCCATGGATTCGACATCAATAAGCATTGCTAGAGGTGATTGGGCAAGTTTCTAATTCATGCAATAACTCATAATGTCCTATCTAAGTACAAGTTCAGTTCTGCTATTCTTCTAGATAACATCTGCAGATTTGCTAACCTCTGGAATTTTTATTTGAAGACTTGGTGAGTCTAGAACACAGGATTGAATTGACCACTGTGTGTGTGTGTGTAAGAGAGAGAGTAGCAAGGCACCTCTAACCATTGAGACACACTCGCCCTTGAGCAATATGGTATGTGAAGGATCTGTTTGTCAAAAGTGATTCAAACTTCATGTTCCAGGCGTTCAAATCTACGTCTTCCTTCAATCGATCAAATCTACCTCTTCAAATATTGTTGATGCACAATACAGTTGCACAAAACAAGAATCGGAAGTGTTGAATGATCGATAATGATTTTTTTCTGGGATTAATGCTAAATCATAGGAGTTATCCAAAAATAAAATTGATCATTCCTGCTTTGAGTCCAGAAATATTGGGCTAATTGGACAGAGAACACAGTGGAATTTCTTAAGTCTCAACTATCGCAATTGAATTGACCGCTATGATTGAATGAACTGGATTTATCTACGTCATGTTCATGAATGCTACTCATTAAGGTTCACATTCATAATCGACGCGCTCGTAATCATACACGAATTTGTTAGCGCATATTTACATAAAGTTGTTAGAATCATCAAGTATTATCATTTCTCTGTGTATACTTTCCCTGAACTAAAAGATGTAAGCAGTTGCTAAGCTGATTATGAAGTCTAAGATCTCATCAATGCGGTGAGCACCTCATAGCCTTTTTATTGATAGAATTATCACTTTCGTTTGCCTCTGTAGATACAGGACGCCAAACAGTGGTCTTTTTTAGATATGGGACGCCGAGAAAGTTCTATCGGACAGATTTCCGTAAAACGTTGAATTTCTCAGTTCATTGTTCTAATAGGACATATGTGATATGCATAATAGAGAGAATAGTGGCAATCTCTTGAGAGATTAATACTTGTACTTTAGTATAAATTCACATCATGCGCTTGAATCGATTCGTCGATATACACTCAAATGAATGGCATTCTCTATTTGAATTTGTTCCACATTTCGTAGTTACTAGGAATCAGCCAGAAGACGTCAATGAAGACTATAATAACCGTTTATTATTCGTATTCCTAAATATTTATTACGGTAGCGCTTATGTTGTGAAGGGAGTGAAGATACGAATAGTTGTAGTGAATTAGATAGTTCAAATATAGTACATGTAAATGAGATACCCGTCAAGAAAAAAAAAACGCTCCTTCATTATAGTCTGGGTGGAAGTTCGAAGAAAATGAGAGCTTTCCATTGTTGGTTTTATCCAGTAATCTCCTCATGCACCAATGACTAAATGAAGAATCTGACATGTAGATAATATAGCTTATGTCAGCAAATTTGACCTTTTGATTAGAATATCAAATTTTGCCCCATTTTGAAATTGCAATCCGACACCTAATAGTCAGTTTTTGCAAGGTAATTAGTTACCATATTGAAAATAACATGTTTATGAAGCATTTTTTATAGTTAATGACACTTCTTGTACATATTAGGCCATTCCATAAGCTTTGTCACTAGAGCAATAAACACTTATGCACTTCATTATTCCGTCTTCACAGTGCTTTTTTTCTATTGTGCGGATCCCAGTACTTTCAGCATTCAATCCGTTGTTTCGTCTTCTTCTTGAAAAGCGTAGAAAGACTAGTTGAGCGAATCTCCTTGAAATCTCAAAGATAGCCTGGCTGTGGCATTATATAAGGCGTTGTTGTTGATCGCCGGAGACAGTTGGGGGGTGGGGAAGAGTAGCGCGGGGTGGAACTCGGCTCCATTCGTGCCGCGAAGAGCCTTACAACCACTCGGCCACGGCACCCCAAGCAGCAAAAAAGCAATGAATATCAAATTTTTTTAGCCAGAAGTAACTATATTGCATGATTTTGGTCTCATTTTTTTGCAAAGATTTTCTATACGGCTTGCCTAAAATTGCTTTGAGATGGAGCTGTCGCGGGAACAAATTGGCATGCTACTCATGCAAGAATGGCACATAGAAGATGTTAGTGAAGCGGCACGCAAGATCTAAAAGTTTGGGGCGGTGATAAGAATTTGCCCTCGCGACAGCTCCATTTCTAAGCAAAAGCAGGCAAGTTGTACACCAAAATTTCGCAAGGATTTGCACAATTGAACTATACCAAAGTCATGGAAATTTGATAATCTCTGGCTGAAAATTTGCCTTTTATTGCTCAAGTGCCAAAAGCTATGGAACGACCTAGTAATGATCTAATAAGATCTAGCTTTATCCTTTTATGACCTGATATCGACTTTGTTCTTTTTCTATTAAGAAGACAAGCATAGAACAACAGTAGGGAAAACTTTCTTTGCAACTTAAGCCAATGCTTATAGATTTAGCTCAGTGACTCATCTTGGTAACTGCTGATGATTCTCTAGATGTAATGCTCAAGTTAATGAAATTGTAAACTCCGAAACACAAGTGAATGCTGGCGTTACTGCAGGAGAAGAACGGTTGTACGCAATAAATCATGAAATCAAAGCATTTTCGTATAGATGTGGAAGAAGAAGTCGTGAGTAGAACGAAGCTGACTAATAAATATGCACGGGATAATGCTATGCTGCTAGTGCAACCATCAATTTGGTTAAATTGCTTACGAACATGACGTATAAATTTCAGTGCGTGGTCATCTACTGGTTCTCAAACGTTACTCTCTATGAACTGCTGCAAACATTCTACACACGATTATGGCGACAGTCATGATATTTAAGTGAATCCACTGACTGCTGTTTAGTTCTTCGGTGACTTTCACAATCATTCATTTTCATCAACACCTCCTACCTAAATTTCGTAATGAAAAGCACTCGGACAATGGTAGGCGAAAGATAAGGAAAATTATGTGTTTTTTGAAAAGATAGACTCGCGTGATGCTCAGGATAAATTCCACTTGGCTGACATATTCCTGGTTGAACAAACTTATTTCTTCTTCAAAGCGTCGAAGATAACAAACGTGATGTCATATGAGCTTCTCAAAACCCAGAGCTACCAGCTCACTACATTCCACAGTCTTCAGGATGAGA